AGCTTTCTTTCATACCACGACAACTTTGAACCAATGCAAATATGTGCCTGGTCCTACCTGGTAGCTGATTGTTTTAAACATCTTAAACATGTAAATAACATTTTCAATATGGGGATTTGTAGAGATTATAATATTTTAACAGTTAAATTCACGAATCATCTTAAGTTAGACAATCATTGAAAACCTAGAAACTGTCATCTACTATCTCTAGGTTTTCATCAGTGATCTAGTTTAGATCAACTCATGAATTCAATTGTTAAATAACATTTCAGTTGACTGATTGACTGGCTAACTAACTTTAAATTATCACTTACATAATTCTATTCTTAATGTTAACATTGATGAATTTCATCACTAAATAGATATGTATATATAAGAAGTAGAAGTTAAATAGTTCATTCATTCATATTTCATTAAAAAAGTTGAATAGATTTCGATTTCTATTTCGACAGTAACCATAAATTTTAAAAGATTTTTTTTGTTCTATGAAACTTACAGACTTTAGAAAAGATTTCTATGACGACAAACAAACAAGAAAAAAACAAAAAAAATTAAGAAAAAATGGGGAAAAAACCATTTAAAAATTTAAAAAAAAGAGAAAAAAATCAATAATGATATATTGTCTTCTGTTTTATATCATAATAATACATTTAACCAACAATGACACCACCACCACCACCAACAACAACAACAACAACAACGACAGTAAAAACAAAAAAATTTTCTCGGTATAATGACATTTCTTAAATTGAAATCAATAAACATTCAAACGACAAATAATAAATATTCATTTATTTAATTTATTTTTATTTTTGTTCATTCAAATTTTCTTTTTCTTTTTGTTTTCTTTATTTTTTTTTTAATTATATTTTATCTATCCATAAGATATCTGTTTATCAGAATCTAGTTGTTAAGTGGATAATGTGATCGTGTTTGAATTGAATGGTATTAGATTCAAATGTTAGAGTAAACATCAATTCTGAAATGGAGGTATATTCAGTTGATGAATTCCAAATAGGATGAAATCAGTTTCCTAGATTTCACCGTTAGATATTATTCATCTTTGATTAGAAAGATTTATTTTTTTTTAAAAAAGAAAAGTATAGTGATGGTAAAACAAAATCAATTTAGGTGACTCTCCCGGTCTATCATGTTGTATGAGCATCCCATGTATCTAAATTAATAGTTGCTCTGGTTATTATTTTATTTATTTTAACACATAGATATTGTTACAAGAAGGTACCAAATACATATGCGCCACACAAATCTCATTTGATATATGTGAGGGCTGTGATACTGCCCGGATGCCCAGACCGAAGCAGGTGGATTTCTTAGGGGACCACACCCCGAGCCTTCGACCTGAGCGTCTAATCCACAAGGCAGTGGAGCATCGTAAGGAGATGCAATCCCATGGTAGCCGGTGGCCAACGATTTGTTCATACGCCATTTGTTCCTTCAAGATACTGGAGTCCATTTGCACCATTGGTTTGGGATCCGGTTAAAGCCGGTGCCGTACATTCGCTTTTTGTCCTCTCATTTTCGTAAACAACACCTTTGCCACGAGAAGGCAGTGAGTAGGACTTCCCTGGTAGAGGCTATATACGCATGACCATATGAGAGCATTTCGAGAAGGAGAGCTGACTCTCCCCACTCTCGGCCGTACCAGGGCGTTTGGGGGCTTTAAGCCACGACTCGAGCACACCCCACCGCAGCAACTCAATCAAACCATCTAGACCGGACTAGGCTGTGGCCAGATTAGGCTGTGGCTGTGGTTGTTCGAAGGGGTATCAGTCTCATGAATTCCGAAGGAACCCGGTTTTCAACATGAAGTATTCATAACTCTTTTAAATGAAAACCTTCTAACCCCCATTGCAGAGTTTAAATTGTTAGGGTTATTTATTCTGGTTAGCATTTTTTTAGCGAGTTAGTTTACTACCGGAAGGGGTCGCTAACCCCATGCTTAACCCTCCTCCTTTAGACCAGCAGTAGCTTTATAAAAGCTCCAGGTGGAGTTGGTAAAACAAAAGGATTAATTTTAACATTTATTATTCTCTCATTTGTATACTATACTTAATAATTGTAAAAGCGGATAGTGTTCCATTTATCTATTCTGTAATTTTTATTGATTGTTAGTAGTATAATACAACATGACTGCTTATTCGTTTATGAGAATTGTCGAATTATTGAAGTAACATCTCAATGTTAGGACTCAAATTTAATGTCAAGTGATTATCTATAAGGTTATAAATTCCCGATAGCTTACTTACTTACTTACTTACTTACATACTTACTTACTTACGCGTGTTACTCTCAATGGAACATATGTCAACGACCAGCATTTTTCAACCCACTCTGTCCTAGACCTTCCTTTGCAGTTCTGTCCAACTTTTGTTCATTTTTCTAATGTCTATCTTCATTTTTCGCTATAATGTGTTCTTTGGTCTTTCTCTTTTCTTTTGGCCTTGAGGATTTTATGTGAGGGCTTGCCTTGTGACGCATTTAGATGCTTTCCTCAATATGTGTCCTATCCACCTCCAATGCTTCTAGAAGTGGATAGGTATGATAGATATATATTAATTATTATTTTTATTATTCGTAAGAGTTTGTATTCATTCGACAAAAGCAGATATTGTAATTTAGAACAACATATATAAGCGAACAATATTGTTTTCGATTAGGTCTCCATCAGGTTTTACTCTAATATAGCCTGATAATGATGATCTAATTGAGAACAATAAAAACATCCATACCATACCGTCTGTTACTCCCAATGGAGCATAGGCCGCCGACCAGCATTCTCCAACCCACTCTGTCCTGAGCCTTTTTTCTAGTTCCACCCAATTCTTGTTCATCTTTCTCATATCTATCTCCATTTCTCGGCGTATTCTTTGGTCTTCCTCTCCTCCTTCGATCTTGAGGATTCCATGTGAGGGCTTGTCTTGTGATGCAGTTCGGTGCTTTCCTCAATGTGTGTCCTATCCATTTTCAGCGCTTCTTCTTGATTTCTTCCTCCACTGGGATCTGATTTGTTCTCTCCCACAGTAGGTTGTTGCTGATAATGTCTAACCAACGAATCCGATGTATTTTGCGTAGACAACTGTTAATAAACACCTGTTTCTTTTGGATAATGGATTTCGTAGTTTTTCAGGTTACCGCCCCATATACAATAGAACTGTCTTGATATTTGTATTGAAAATACAATAAAAACATACTTCATGCAATAAATGAAGATAACATATTAAATCCTTGAGGTTTGCTTTATTCATTTGTTCAATAACAAAATGAATTGTATCTATTTCATATTTAGTTTTTCATTTATTTAACTTTTATATTTTATTAATGTTACATTATGAATAATATTTAAAACATTTGTTGTATATATAATCAACTGTTTGGCATAGTCAGTTGTTGACATTTAAATAACTCATTAACTTTTAGTCAATAACTTTTGTCAAATCACTTAGGTAACTATGAAAATCTTTTGTTTCGTCAGTTTTTTTTTTGTTTGTTGTTTTGTTGTTTTGTTTTAAAATTCTGGTCAAATTTTAATGTAATTGAATGATATATCATTGTAGATATTGATCTGAAGTGATTTGTTCAATCAAATTGACTATTATGAAAGCTTAGAATTACGTATTCCTTTAGTGTATACCTAATACAATCGTTGATTTCAAACACAAATGAGTTAATTCCTGATATATTAGTAGTTGAGATCATGAGTTAATTTAAGCTAGATTATCATGGTATATCTGGAAGCACTGGATGACCGTTTTTGTCCTATTTTAGGACTCCTTAGTAGTGCGTATCCATGATCTCGACTCAAGAGATCTGAATCCAGAATTAATCGATGTTGCGCAAGAATGCTTAATCTCTAAAACCACTAAACCGACTGTCATCCAACGGTGTTAATGTTTAACTTTAACTAGTCCACCAAATTGAGCGACGCATCCATTATCTATTCAGAAAAAATATTTTGTTTGGATTTTAAATAATTAATGTAAGAAAGTGAACAATCCATAGATATTTTATGCTTACTTATAACTGCTAAGTATAATATACCTATGATCAAGGTGATGATCTCTCTATCACACACACACACACATATATATATATATATACAATATACATTCATCTTTTATAATTAGTATAATTCATTTCTAGTATTTGGACAAAATTCAATGGTTCATTAATCCAATTTCAGTCAATTCATTATATTAATTATGTAACATTTATGTGTTGTCAATAGAGAAAATGTTTTACTTTGAACATGTGAATAAAAGCACTATTAAAAATATTGATTTACTAATGAAATAATAAAACAATTTATAATGTAAACTAATCTGATATGAAAGCGAAGAGAATCAGCTCTCTCACTTTAAATACTCTCAAATAGCTATACATATATAGTCACTATCATGAAAGTCCTACTCAATAACATCTTATGGTGAGGGTATCGTTTACGAAATTCAAAGAACAAAATTCGAATGTATGACACTTTAACCGAGTTGATGGATATAGAGGATTTATTTCAGAGGATCAGGGGTTTTGAAAACCATGATTTCAAATCAATAGTGTATATGAGTTTCAGGATCCCAATGAAAACAAATAATGTATGAACCTATTATTGTTAGTGACCAACTACCATGACACTGCATCTTCTAACATTTCTCTGCTGTTTTGTAGATTACACTTTTAGCTTAAAGTTTATAAGAAGTTAAGTCAGTACTTCAACATTCACAAAGATCAAATAATGAAATAAGTGAGACTCATACATAATTAATGCTTCCTTTTTACCAATGTTTATATACTTATAAATACATAGAAATGATTAAAATGAGATATATGTAGAATAGAATAAACCTTATTCATATTATCATTGATGTTTATCAATAACAAATATTGATTTTCTGTATTATGTTTATTTTATTGAAATAATTTCATTTTTCTTTTTTTTTTCTTCTTTTTTTCTTTTTTTTTTATTTTAAATTTCAATTAAATAGCTTTCATCCAGATTCATATATTGCTAATAAACGAAAATATAAATCTAATTATAATGAAACATATCATAGATTAAATGATTTAATAAATTTACAACATAGTTTTACAGAATATAATTTAAATGGAATAAGTAATACTATCAATACTACCACTACTACTACTAATACTACTACTACTACTACTACTATTAACAATCATAATATCAGTAGTTTATCATGTCCTATAACTATTAATTCAATCAATCCTATACGATCCTTTACACCAATTTCAATTAAAATTCAACAAAATAATAAACCATTAAATCAATATGAATTAGATCATTCAATAAGTGATATATGTTCAACCAATTCATCATTATCAGATCATACTACTAATGGTATGAATTATTCATATCCAACTAATTCATTATCATTATCATTAAATAGAGATAAAAGAAAAGATTATACTAATAATACTAATGATAATAATAATAATAATATATGCTATAAACATCGTACATTACCATTATTACCTAATTCCAATGAATATCAACACCCCCATCAACATCAACTCCAAAATTACCAGCACCACCACCAACAACACCCCTATCAACAATATCCTTATATTCCATTAACATCATCACAATTGAATACACCTATGATAACATGGCGTATTAAAAATTCTAAAGAAAATTATTATAATAAAAAATTATTAAAATTAATTGAACAATTACCATATAATAAACAAAATTCAATTGGTTTAATATTATTAACAATGGATGTGAAATTATGTCATTCTATTCATAATCAATCCGATATTAATAATAATAATAATAATAATAATAATAGTAATAATAATATTAGTAATAGTAATAATAGTAATGGTAATAGTAATAGTAATGGTAATTATCCGGATATATTCTCTGGTGGTTTAGAATATCGTCTACGTGAAGCATTACAATTGGTTGAACCAAACAATAAACTAATGAATGAATTCAATGATTGTCATTATACAACAAATGAATTAAATAAAATATATTTAAATAAAATTATTGATGTTCGAAGTAGAAAGTAAGTTATGAATGTAATGTACTATATTTGTTTTCTTTGTTATTATTTTCATTTATTTCATTTAAAGGGGTATGATGGTGAGATTTGAACCCAGGACCTATCAGTCTCGCGCCAGGCGCTTAACCAACTAGACCAACTAGATATCAGCTCACTGAAGACAATGGTGTACGGTGGCGTAACTTCGTGGATTGGTTGAAGTTAGACATTAACACCGTTGGATGCCGGCTCAGTGGTCTAGTTGGTTAAGAGCCTGGCGCGAGACTAATAGGTCCTGGGTTCGAATCTCGCGAGGAGCGGGATCGTGGATGCGCACTGCTGAGGAGTCCCTTACTAGGACGAAACAGCCGTCAAACATTGCTTCCAGGTTTTCCATGGTGGTCTAGCTTCAATGGATTCATGATTTCAACCAGTGATATTAAACTAATTAACAATAAATTCATTCATTTCTATTTCTTTATCGATTTATTTTGTTTTATTTTTTTTAAACATTGTTTTACAACAACTTATATATTACATAATTAATTTCTTTTTAAATGATAAACTATATTGACATTGTATTGTACTTTCATGTCAACAATAATGTCATGAATGATTGAAATCATCATATATTATTATGTACTTTAGTTATACTTACCTCTTCTTTTTATAAAACCCATCTAAATAGTTTGCATTGTTACTTTGTAACATATTCAATGTGAAATCCATCAACTACAACAACAACTACAACAACAACAACAAAGAAACTTACTTACTTACTTACAAAAGTACAATATGAAGTGTTCAAATGAATTATGTCATTATCATTGAAGTGTATATACAACTTCTGTTCATAAATATGCATCTTTTCTTTTTTTTATTTTTTTTCTTCTTTTTTTTTAAAAAAAAAGAGAAAAACTTTTGTGACAAACTTGAAATAAATAAAACAGACATGAATGAAAGTTAGTTAAGAGATTAGTTTCAATAGTTGAAATCATGAATCAATTAAAGCTAGACCATGATGGAAAACCTGGAAGCATTGAATGATCGTTTTGTTCTAGTATGGGAATCTTCAGTAGTGTGTATCCATGATTTCATACGAGAACGAAACAACCGTTCAGTGCTTTTAGGTTTTCCATGATGGTCTAACTTTAATTAATTCATGATTTCAACCATTGAAATTTCTAAATATCTCCACAAAACCCCTTCTGATAAGAAATTTATTATTATTTTATTTTAACACATAGATATCGGTACAAGAAGGCACCAAATACATATGCGCCACACATATCTCATTGGATATGTGTGAGGGCTGTGATACTGCCCGGGTGCCCAAACCGAAGCAGGTGGTTTTCTTAGAGGGCCACACCCGGAGCCTTTGACCTAAAGATCTGATCCACAAGGCAGTGGAGCATCGTAAGGGGATGCAGTCCCATGGTAGCCGGTGACCAACGATTGGTTCATACGCCATTTGTTCACGCAGGATACTGGAGCCCATGTGCGCCACTGGTTTCGGATCCGGTTAAAGCCAGTGCAGGACATTCGCTTTTCGTCCTCTCATTTTCGTAAACAACACCTGTGCCACGTGAAGGCAATGAGTAGGACTTCCCTGGCAGTCGTTGTATAAGCGTGGCCATATGAGAGCATTTCGAGAGGGGGAGCGGACTCCCTCTACTCTCAGCCGGATAAGAAATTAGTTGTTTAAACATTCTTTTTTTGTATATCTGTCATAGAAACTTAATGGATATAGGCAATTTTATTAAACGTCGAAAATAATGATCTATCCATATAAGTAGTATATAACGATAGTTAAGAATAGAATGTATTTCAGTAGAAGATTAAGGAGGAAACAATTGGAACGAAAAGCAATTGGTATGAAAATGCATGAATAATGAAATCTGAAACGATGGACCGTGATTTACAAAAGGAAACAGTCAAGTTTGAGACAATTGATTGATATTTTGTAAATGAATTACTTACTATATGGTTCTAAGATGGTACTAATATGTTCGGTAATTTTGTATTCAATTACATTCGATTGTCCCCAACTGTGTTTTTGTTCACTATAATAGTTCTTGACTGGGTCCAACTCTACTGATTGTGATATTCTTTATAACTATTTGTCATTAAAGAGTCTATCATAAAAGTACATAAACTTTGAGACGATTCTTTACTGAAAAAACTATTGTTTGAACTAGAATTTATAAGAAGTGATCATCGGAATTAGAAACCCACTGTAGTGTTCTCCGTAATTACTTACTATCCTCACTTTTATTTATCTTCACCAAAGAGAACCCTTTAGAGATAAGATTTTCTCATTTCGACTTTCTATAGATTGATCCCTTACCAAGAAGTCAACTTGTTGACGTATAATATCTAGATGATGTAATTCTATTTAGTAAAATGTGAGAAAATACAGAGTCTTCAGACTGTCTCTATCAACAATACAAAAATATTTAGGCTGCATTTCCTTCTCTCTGCATAATCACCTAGATCGATCACATAGATCTAAATAGTAGCGTGAGTTGACCATTATCTCATTGATACTGATGGGTTGATGGCTAACAAAACATCGACTAGAGAGACTGAGAGGTATTCTCAAGGCTTGAACGTCTCAATTTTGATCTTTTGTTTAGTTATAGATGGGTACAGCCTGTGGGGAGCCCTCATACCAGGAGGACACACCTGTCTGATGCTTTCAAGTTTTCTAACGGTCTCTAACTGAAGTCATGCACTGATGTCAAACTTCATATATGTATATATGATTTCATTTTGAACATGGACATTTGAATCCTATAGGAAACTATTCTAAATACTGTTTATAACTTCTCTATTTTGTTTCCTAGAAACGTCAATGAATCCAAAAAATCATCAACTAACTTTGCTAAAGAATCACCTAAAGAAGATGGTCGTGAATCTGGAATAGATCCAGATACATTAGACGAAACATCAACATCAATGATTGGAAATTCTTTAAGCTTAAATGATATGAAATATACTACTAATGATCTTAATCATACTACTGAAGTAAACAAACCAAGTGTAATTACAATATTAAGACGATTAGCAAGATATTTAGCTTTACGGATAGCAAATAAACGTCATAGTCTAGCTACTGCAAATCAACATGTTGCAAGAAATGCTATTGAAGAAAAACTTGTAAGTAGTTTCTAATAATATTTTATTTTGTATTTTTTGTTTTTCTCGTTAATTAAGTAACCAGGGTGGGGGGGGAGTTGATAATTTTTATAATGAAAGGAAGATAACTATTAAAGAATAATGAACAGCATAGCATGAATGTATATCTACTCACTTTAATCTATTTCATTTGTCAAATGATGTAATTCTCAATCAGTGTTAATAATAGTTGACAGTTGGATACAATGTACCTCATGAGTGATTCGTTTTTCTATCATATCGTTTAGAAAACTATGATGAACATCATCAGTAAATAACATGAGCATATTATTTGAAATACCTATAGGAAAAACCGTTCTACTGAATAAGGGATGATGGCATTATTAGACGGTCAGTGTATAGGAAACTAACCTGGACGAGACAATACTTAAATTTCCATAGTTTTTGTCCATTGTAATACAAGAGAGGCTTGGTTAAGTGTCTCTTTAAGAGAATTCAAAGAATTTGTACTTCTGACACGATGGAAAAAGATGAAAAGTTACTGATTGATACATTAATAGCAAATGGTTATCCATTAAAGTTTATTAATAGGTGCAAAAGTCAGTTAATGCCAAGACCTCTTGTTTATTCGGTTCCAAAGAAAAAAGTTTATATCAATCTACCATATAGAGGCGAATCTAACAGCATAGTTTTAAAACAGAGATTGAAAGCAGCGATCGAGAATACCTAATATGCTGCTCAATTGATTATGATTGAAAAGTTCATGATTCGGAATAGACCCAGACAATGCACAATTGATTACGTCACATCCTATTGTATTTACCAATTTACATGTTTGCGTGGACACACATACATAGGGAGGAGTAATCGAACAATACAATCAAGGGTCACTGGACATGGGTCTAGATGGCTTCAAAATCAATATGTGTCAAATGATCCGATCAACGTGGGAGGTTGAAAACCAGTTTCATCGACAGCAAAACATATAGTTGAAACGGAGCATAAAATTGACATGAATACAGCTTTTAAAACGTTGCATAGAAATTGTCAAGGACGAATTCTCAAGTTTATTGAAGCCTTGGCTATTCGTAAATTTAAGCCCCCTTTATGTGTACAAAAACAATTTGTCATAACTTGGAATTTACCCTGGAAATCTTTAATTTATTCCATGGCCTAGGATAATACAACAATTTCTTATTCTTTCTATCCCATTTGTTACTTTTTTACTTGGACTTTCATTTAATTGACCTTTATTAACTGTCATATAAAAAATGTCCTGACACATATATGTGCCAGAAGGGGTTTTTTGGAGATTTTAGTAATTTCAATAGTTGAAATCATGAGTCAATTGAAGCTAGACCACAACTGATACGTCCTGGGTTAGAATCTCGCGGAGGGGGGGGGGCTGGATCGTGAATGCACGCTGCTGCGAAGACTCATACTAGGACGAAATGGCCGTCCAGTACTTCCAGGTTTTCCATGGTGGTCCAACTTGAATTGACTCATGATTTCAACTATTGAAAGTATATGTGTGAACAGCTTGTTCGAAATGTATAGCACAAATACATTCCATTTTTCAGATCAACTCCGTCTTCTCATTGTTCTATCGAAATTTATAAAAGGAACTAATTGCTTTAAACTACTGAATAGTGTTTGCATACTGATGAATGTCTATCTCTTAAAATAAAAGGATTTCTTCAAACCTAAACGTAAAGCTCCAGTGAGAGAAAGTAACCAATTGTTTCCAGTACTTAGTTGAACTATTACTACTAATGTGAACTGACTCTCCCCACTCTCGATCGTGCAAGGGTATTTAGGAGCATATAATCATATGATATAACTATTTAGTTAAACAAACGAATTTTGAAAGAATTTCAAACATACTCTTAATAGTTGAAATCATGATTCAATTGAAGCTGGGTTCGAATCTCGAGGGGGCGGGATCGTGGATGCGTACTGCTGAGGAGTCCCATACTGAGACGAAACGGCCGTCCAGTGCTACCAGGTTTTCCATGGTGGTCTAGCTTCAATTGACTCATGATTTCAACTATTGAAATTCCTAAAATCTCCACAAAATCCCTTCTGATAAACTCTTAATAGTTTAATACATGGAAATAATCGTTGTCATTCAACGGAAAGGAAGTTTCTGAGGATTTGTAACTTATTTTAACAGTTAACATTTCATACTAGATTAATCGTTACTATGCAAGATCGAAGGTTCAAGGTTCGACCATTAATGGTGGTGTTATGTATGCACATTAATCAACTGTTGTTGATAAATGAGTCAATGCTTTGGTGGTTTTTATATCTATTAATTCTTTTTAATTTCTGGATAGTAACTAGTTGGGGGGAATTTAGAATGTGGGTTTTTTTCCCTAATCAAAACTCTTCAGTGAGTTGAATGCCAAATCCTAGAAAGTCATATATTTCCTTCTTAAAATAAATGATACCTATCATATGTTAAGAAATATGTAGAATAAGGTATATATCACCTTTATGAAACATAATTCTTACATTCCACCGGCCCCCTCCCTCAAGAACTATCCAATATATAATGAAATCCTGTTATATTATGTAAACAGTTGTACGTTTTTTTTTTGTTGTTAATGTTTTTTAAAAGTATCAAATACATTGTTTTTTTGTTGATAGGTGGGGTTATTGAATGGATTTCTCAATATTACATATACCTACAAGTGTAGATCATAAATAGTAACTAGTAGTAAAATTCTAAACAAGCATGCCATCTTTCTATTTTTTTTAGACAAACAAGTTAAACACTGACTAAATGCAACTCATGATATTAATAAGGAAAGAATACGGAAACAAAAACTATACTGCTACTAATAATAAGTATCCTATTCATTAGACAAGTTGGTAACTATTGTAACTCAGTAGTTTAATGTATAATGTATTACTATGTATAAAATCATTATTACTGCTAACCAGTTTTAATGTAAGCATTCATATATTATTATGATATTCTGGAGGTACCTGAACTTTGTTGGAAATCCCATTTAACCAAGTTGAATGTAAAGTACTGAATTACCGGTGATATTAAATCATTATTGAACTAAACCTTGAATCGATTAATGTTGAAAACACTTAGTGACTAAAATGTATCATTATTTAGACAAAACCTGAGAGTTTGAGGTTTGATTCAGTAATACATGTAAGTTTTAAATCTAAACAAAAGATAACTGTTTCCATTCAAGGAAAAACTATCCGTATAAGGTTGTGGATTTACGTCACCTATGGCGAAGGCGAGATATTCGTCTATCAATTAAGGGACGAATGTACTGCAAAGTAGTTCGTTCTGTTTTACTTTACGGCTGCAAAACGTGGCCATTAAGGACAGAGGATACCCACAAGCTACTAGTGTTTGATCACAAATGTCTCAGAAATATTGCTCGCATCTGCTGGAATCACCGGGTAAGTCATAGTGAGGTTACACGCAGGGTATTAGGGAATAATGATAAATCAGTTGATAAGGTTGTAAATCTTCATCGACTGAGATGGTTGGGTTATGTATTACGTATGTCTGAACACTGATTACCACGACGCACAATGCTAACTAGTGTTGGGGATGGTTGAAATAAAGTTAGGGGTGGCCAATCCAAAACGTGGCATCAGTCCTTTAAGTCACTAACTTCTAGTTTGAGCCATGTTGTTAGATGCAAACTACCTGGTTGGGGTCCATGTGACTATCGTAACTAATGGTTGCAGACTCTGTGTGACATGGCTCAGAATCGATCACAATGGCGTAGGTGTATACACTCTCCGTCTTCCCTTAAACTATGAGATTGAAATCGTTTCATATCTTTCTTTCTACGAACTAATTCTTTCTTCTTGTACTATATCTTTATATGCAATCTTTCTTTTATATATTTTCACTATTGAAGTAACTACTTCTATGAATCCGTTGTCCATCTTGCTGTGCTAATGAATGAAGTATGGCAACTTCGATCAATGTATATATGTGCCTGATCCTACGTTGTAACTAACTAACTAACTGACTAATTATGATATTATTATGATTATTGTTTTCTCATTATTTCAACTTTGATTTCATTGTTTTCTCTTTTTTTTTTCTTTTCTTTTTTAATTTTATTCTAGTTACGTTCTAGATTAAATGAATTAAATACTGATTATTATCATTATCATCATCATCATCATCATCATCATGATAATAATAATATAATGAATAGTTGGAATTCATTAAATTCAATTGAAATCAATCATGGTACAATTGTAAATCGATTTGATCGATTACATAATAATACAATTGCTGTTATACAATTATTATGTCAATTAGCAAGACGTTTAGCTATATTAGATGGACAATTATATTATTTAAATAAAAATAAATATCATGATCATGTTGTATTATTATGTAATAATAATAATAATAATAATAATAATGATAATAGTAATTCCTTATTATCCTATCATCATATAACATCATTAACATCTGGTACATCACCAATTATATCAAATCAATTCATGAATGATTTCAATACTACTTCTACTACTACTACTACTACTAATAATAATAATAATAATAATAATAATAATAATAATAATAGTAATCGGAATAGTAATTGTGAATTAGTAAGTTGAATAGTAAGAACATGTAGTATAGTATATATGTTTTGTATATATTTCCTTTATTTATTATGCTCATAATTAATTTATTTGACTGACTTGAATTACGTACTTACTTACTTACTTACTCACTTACTCACTTACCTACTTGCTAACTTACTTACTCACTTGCTTACATACATACTTAGTTACTTAAGTGCTTACTTACTTAATTATTTACTCATTTACTTAATTACTTCCTCAATCACTCACTCACTTCCTTACTTACTTACTTACTCGCTTACTTACTCACCCACTTGCTTACTTACTCACTCACTCACCCACTTACTTACTTGCTTACTTGCCGACTTACTTGCTGACTTACTTACTTACCTGCTTACTCACTCGCTTAACTACTTACTTACTTGCTTACCTACTTACTTACTTACTGACGCCTTCTACATCCAATGGAGCATAGGCCACCGGATAGCATTCTCCAACCATTCCAAATTAGACCTTCCTTTCTAGTTCTATATAATTGTTTTTGATTATTCTCATATCTGTCTCCACTTTTCGGCATATTGTGTTCTTTGGTCTTCCTCTTTTCCTTTGGCCTTGAGAATTCTAGGTGACGGATTGTCGTGTGATGTAGTTGGATGCTTTCCCCAATGTGTGTCCTATCCACTTCCAGTGCTTATTCCTGATTTCTTCCTTCAATAGAATCTGGTTTCACAATAGGTTGTTGCTGATAATGTCTGACCAACGAATCCGAAGTATTTTGCATAGACAACCGTTAATGAACAGTTGTATGTTCTGAATGATGGCTTTCGTATTTCTCCACGTTTCTGCCTCGTACAATAGAACTGTTTTGATATTTGTATTGAATATTCTTCCAACACCACTATTGTAATTAGAGTTTAGAGATGTTGGGCAACGCGGCTTAGAATCGGTTGTTTTTTGGCTTCTCTTACATTTTTTGAATCCACTCTTCTTTTCTTGAATTATGTGGTGTACTACTAATGCTGTGTTTTTTTTGTTGCTATCACTTATACTATTGTCACTACTGTCTTTTTATTCATCTTGACAGCTTTTTCTGGCTTAACTGATATGGTATACTGTACTGGACCGATAAATCTGTGTTTGGATTTACCTTATTTCTAACTGACTAGCTGACTGACATTTTATTTTGTTAGAGTTTAATATCATCTACTTATAATAAAGAATATTTTGACTTGAATATGTAGTTGCATAGAATCAAATTTGATTCATATTCATAAGCAAAATAAACTATATATGCCATCATAGTATATTAAGAACTGCAGAAACATATTGAAAATATAATACAATGAATTAGATCTAATAACTGAATATCATATGTGATAGAAAGGTTCAAAACAACTCATTCAAATACAAATACATAGAATATCATTTTCTGGTTAGCGTTTTTTTAGCGAGTTGGTTTTCTATGGGATAGGGTCGCTAACCCCATGCCCAACCCTCCGCCTCCTCCTTTACCCGGGGCTTGGGACCGGCAGTAACTCTAGAAGAGCTACAGGCGGAGTTATAGAATATCATGCCTAAAGTCAAACGGTTAAACAACTATAAAGAAGTTGTGAAGTAATTTGATTATCATTAAGAGTAGAATATGTAAATTGGTATTTGCCAATGAAGAGATTAATCGATTGCAATACTAAATGTTTATGAGAAGATTTAAACAAACAATACAGAAATAAATTAAAGACTTCATCCTATAGATCAACCGAGTTACTATCTAGATTCACTATCTAAACGGATAATGTGATAGTGTTTGAAGCGGACGGTGCTAAGTTCAATTCCTTAAGTGGACATCAACTCTGAGATACAGGTGTATCCAAAATTAGGACAAAACATACATCCTGGATTCCATTATTAGCCATATTTCATCTAATCGATATCAAATTTACAGCTTTTCTGGTAAAAAATTAAGCAACCTGATTAATAAAACCCATTTAATAAAAAAATCGATGTAATTCTTAGGATTACGTAATACAAAGCGAAAAGTTTAACGCCTGTTACTCCCAATGGAGTATAGGCCATCAACCAGCATTCTCCAACCCTCTCTATCTTGGGTCTTTCTTACTAGTTCTATTCAATTGTTGTTCATTATTCACATGTCTGTCTCGATTTCTCGGTGTAATGTGTTCTTTGGTCTTCCTCTTCTCGTTTTTTGGCATTGAGGATTCCATGTGAGGGATTGTCATGTGATGTAGTTGGATGCTTTCCTCAATGTGTACAGTTATACACACATTCAATTTAACTCACTGATTAATTTGCATTAATTTGATTAATGATAAATATGTTAACATCATACAGTGATCATTGTTAGTATGATTTATTGCAGTAGTACGTTTCAAAACTTAACATAATGATGTGGCTTCAAAAATGGTAATTTCTAATTCTTGCACATGAATAATCATTGAGTAGTGGCCTATATCAGTCAGTCAGCTACAACGTAGGACCAGGTACATATATGCAACGAATCAAGTTGCCATACCTCATTAGCACAACATGATGAACACCAAATTCATAGAAGTAGTTACTTCAACGATACCTCTAACAGCACTCGATTGGCTTGTATAATGTTTATTTAGTCCTTTATTATTGATCAAATGCTATCGATCAAGTTGCAAGATGGTATGACATAGAGTTTATCATATTGTGATGTTAGGTTGTTGGAGATAAATGACAGTAAACCCTGTTTTTAACTTAGTTTTTATGCTGATCAACACTCATTGGCAAGGCTAACCTACAATCTAAAGAGAACTGGTGCTACTTCTTGGATTCGAATACGGGTTACTTAGTTACACTATCTAGAACTTTATCACTGAATCATTTATAGGACTATAGAACTACTTCATTTACATCCACATGATATTAGTCATGACATTAGTTAACATTTGATCAAATGCTTTGTATTTAATGATATAACACAAAAGTGTAATCTAAATAAGACAATCATAAATAATGAATTATTTCAAAGAAGAAATAAACACGAAATTTAATTTTATTGTTATTGAACAATCAATCACTTGGTATTGTTTATTTGAATCTTCCCATTGATGTTTAGGACTGCAATTGATCAGTCTCTTATTACTGACATATGTGCATACTGTGTGTATTGCCTCGATATAACCTTTAATTCACAAACATTATAAGCAAAGATGGATAATGGCTAGCAATGGAATCCAGGACACGCATTTCATACTATTTGGGACTTGTCCACTGAATGTACCTATATCCTAAAGTTGATGTTCACTCCGAGACTCGGACTCATTAACATTTGCTTGAAACACCATCGCGTTATTTACTTAGCTACTGAGTCCTGAATTGAACATCTAAGATGTAACTAAGAGATTGATATTTAATAAACAAATGCAACTTTTTAAACATACTTACTTAATCTATATGAAATTTAAACAAAAAACATGCTTCAAAAACCGCCATATTTCTTTTTGTTATGTCCCGACAAGAATAATGAGTGGTAACTTTTGAGATCCATTTATGGACCAATACTAAATGTATATTTTTATCCGCAGGGCTAGGCGGAAAGCAAAACTGATAAAGACTCTAGATTGCTCGTACGTGTTTTACGCGTCATTGGTCCGATCGATAATTCATTGTTCTTTAATTGGCAGTATCATTACCTATATATTAACAGGGCGCACAGCCCACAAGTCATAACACTTTTCAAAAGAAGGAAGTATACTTTTGCGAAGGTGTACAAATGTTTGGATCAAAAAATACCTATCATTTCATATATTTATATGGATCCCTTCAATATATACACGCTGCTTGATTCTAATTTCTTAATATTCAATGTTTGAGACTTGTTTGAGAGTTATAAATCATACAGAAATTCAAATGAATGATACTGAGTTCAAGTCTCAGAGTGAACATCAACACTGAGATACATTCAGATGAGGAGTCCGAAATGGGACAAAATGTACTTTCTAAATTCCATTGCTAGCCACTATCCATCTTCGTTTATAAAGCTCGTCATAAGGGGTTTTGTGGAGATTTTAGTAATTTCAAATATTGAAATTACTAAAATCTCCACAAAACCCCTTCTGATAATAATCATCTGCTCACTCCGTGGATCGGTTGAAGTTAGACATTAACACCGTTGGATGCCGGCTGGCTCAGTGGTCTAATGGTTAAGCGCTCGTGCGCGAAACTGATATTTCCTAGGTTCGAATCTCGCGATAGGGGCTGGCGAGTTCGTGGATGCGAACTGCTGAAGAGTCCCATACTAGAACAAAACGCCCATTTAGTGCTTCTATGTTTTTCATGGTGTTTTAGCTTCAATTCACTCATGAGTTCAACTATGAATCTTGTGACTTGAGGTAATATCAAGACAGTTTGTACAGGATACATATATGCTAATAAGATAGATTGATTAATTACAATCATAAACATCAATCATGGAGATTCAATTCATCAATATAAAAATGAATTTTTTTTTTATAACTTTTTATGTTCTCTTCCTTTTTCTTTCTTTTTCTTTTATTTAGTCACAAATTATTGAACAACAAAAACGTTTAATGATACAAATTAAAGAAGCTCAATTATTACGAGCTGAATTAGAAACATGTCGTCATCGTTTATTAGAAAGTATACCTGGACATATAAAATGTGATTTAACACATAATATGATTGATAAATTAGGAAGAGATTTCATTCATGATAATAATAATAATAATAATAATCATAATAATAAGTTTACAACAAATACTACTAATCAAATTGTTAGTAATCATAATACAACAGAATGTAAATTAACATCATATACAAATAGTGAATTAAATCAACAAAATCAAACAAATCATAATAATAATACTACTAATACTAATACTACTACTAATAATAATAGTAGTAATAATAATAATAATAATGAAAAATCAATATCCAATAAAATGAATGAAAAAGAAGATCAATTAAATTGTCAACAATCAATTATGAATACAACACAATTACTTAGACAACGTGTTACTGAACATTTAATTGAATTTTTAAATTGGTTTGTATTATCACAAGTAAGTTATGTAATATGAGTTGTCCTTATGTATATATGAGATTCAGTTTAAAAAAAAAATCAAAACATTGTCACTTTATAAATGAGATAAATAAAATGATCAGAAGGGGTTTTGTGGAAATTTTAGAAAATTTCGTCGATTGGTTGAAATTAGATATTAACGCCATTAGATGCCGATGGGCCCAATGGTCTATTGGTTAAGCGCTTGCGCGCAAGACTGACAGCTCTTGAGTTCGAATCTCGTGGGGGGGACGAGATCGTGAATAAGCACTGCTGAGGAGTTCCATACTAGGATTAAACGGCCATCTAGTGCTTCCAGGTTTTCTATGGTGGTCTAACTTCAGTTAACTCATGATTTCAGCTAGTGAGATAAATAAAATTGTTTATAGATTTTTCTTTCACTTTGTAATTTTAAAAAACACTGGGTGAGAGACAGGTATCTACCATAGTACTATGGAAGATGGTTGTGCAATTTCGTAGATTGGTTAAGGTTAAATTTTAATACCATTGGATGCTGGCCGGCTTAGTGGTCTAGAGGTTAAGTGTTGGCGCGCGAGACCGAATGCCCGTGAGAGGGATCGTGGATACTTACTACTGAGGAGTTCTACAATAGGATGAAACAGCCGTCTAGTGCTTTCAAGTTTTTCATGGTTATCTAGCTTCAATTGTCTCATGATCTCAATCAAAAACTGTGTATACATTTTTCCTTTCATTTGTAATTGAAAAATGAGTGATCTTTAGACTTATGTTTACGAAATGACGAGTTGTAACGGTTGAATTAATGAATCAATCTAAGCTGGATCACAATTGAAAACCTACAACCACCGGATGGTTTTTCGTTCTATTATGGCACTTCTCATCAATACGCATCCGTAATCCCATAGCAGAGAGACTCGAACCAAGTACCCTCGGTCTTGCTAGAGAACGCTTAACATCTAGATCACTGAGTCGATATCAATCGATATTAGTCTCTAACTGCAATCGATCCATGATCTTGCGCAATCATTTTTTCATTGTCTAAGGTAAATAACTATTTCACATTGAATATGAGTTGAACTCCACATGGTCATGGCTTCTCATTAAATGTTCAAGAGTCACATCTTGAAACTAGTCACTATTGAGTACATGAATATTATCAGAATAGGGATTTGTGGAGATTCAACTAAGTTTAAGAGTTGACCAGTGAAACCTAATCCATATTAGGTGTCAGACAGTTATCCGCCTCAGAAAATCAATGAAGGATTGCGCAAGATTATGGATTGATTGACGTTAGAGATTAACAGTTATTGATTTCGACTCAGTGATCTAGATAGTAAGCGTTCGCATTCGAGACTGAGAATCCCGTATTGCAGTCTCTTTGGTGAGGAATCGTTGATGTGTATTAATGAGGAGTCCCATACTAGAAGGAAAACGCCTTAAAACAGTGTTTCCAGATTTTCATTTGTGGTTTAGCTTAGATTGACTCATTAATTCAACTAATAATATTTGTATATGTTAGTTGAGCATTAAACTGAAACTTACTGAAGTTTACATAAAGCTATCAACTATTAATAGTAAATAGAATTTCATCAGTATTTCATGTTTTAAAGATTCATTCAAACTGTCAGTTTCATTTAAGAGTAACAATTATAACTAAAATCATGTCAAGAATAGTAGAATCTGAATGTTTTATAAAACATTGAAAATGTTGTGAAAGTTAATAATAATGATGGACGGTAGCTCAATTTCGTGAATTAGTTAAAGTTACACATCAATACCGTTGAATGCCGGCTGACTCAATGATCTAGAGGTTAAGCGTTCGTGGGCGATTCTTTTAAGGCAGGATCTTAGGTATACACTACCAAGGAGTCCCATAATAAGATGAAACGGCCATCCAGTGCTTCCAAGTTTTCCATGGTAGTCTAGCTTTAATTAACTCATGAATTCAATGATAAAATTACTAAAATAACTGCACAATCCCCCTTTTTTGAAGATAATAATGTGTTGAAAGGTTTAGTTAAATCGTTTACGATACTAATCGATGAATGTAACCCATTCAGAAATAAAGGAACTTGGTCTAACAGAACGCTATGTATTTCTAATCATTACAATAAATAAAATGATGAAATAAACACAATTATGATTTACATTGTCAATCTATCTTATTCATATGAAGTGATTTATAAAAATTATTGAACAATCAATTAATATCGATCAATTTATTATGTTGTATCAGAAATCAATTAAGGATGTCATTATACTAGAGGGTATCGACTCAATAATTCTAATGGGTAATTATTCTCTGTTAAACTTGAGGTTCTTGAATTTGAGTTCTAAATTACTCATGATTGTGAATTGTTAAAGACTCCAATATTGGGATGAAACATATTTTTAGTGAGCGTTGATTTCTACTAGTATCCTAATTAAAATCAATCTATGAATGAAATACTTTAAATTCACCGGATATTACACCATTAGTGAAGTATACTTCAGATTAAATAATATATGATGTTAACAAAAAACCCAGCTAATTTTCACTTCCTTGTACTACTACTACTACTACCGCCACCACCACTACTACTACTACTACTACTACTACTACTATTACTACCACCAACACCATTAATACTACTACTATTACTACTACTACTACTACTACTACTACTACTACTACTACTACCACTACTACTACTACCACTACTACCACCAACACTACTACTACTACTACTACTACTAATACTACCATTAAAATAAATGAATCAATGAAAGTAAAGTAATATATTGTTAATATATAAATGTATATCATACTAACTGATACATTGTTAACAAAAAGTCAACACCTATCAAGGTTAAGATGATTGAAAAAAATTTAAAAAAAAGGAACGCTAAAAATAGGTTACTATGATAGTAAATAGACAATAAATTGAATAGCACTTAACTAGCGGAATTATTGCCTTAGTAACAATGGTAAAATGTGATAATATGATTCTATCTTAAAATGGATTTACGATTTAAAATTGTAATTCAAATCATTTTAAAGTATTTCACTTTCTCTTACTTAATTTACTTACTTACTTACTAAATTACTTACTGACGCCTTCTACTTTCAATGGAGCATAGGCCACCGACCAACATTCTCCAACCCATTCTATCCTGGACCTTCCTTTCTAGTTCTATTCAATTGTTGTTCATTCTTCTCATATCTGTCTCCATTTCTCGGCGTATTTTGTTCTTTGGTCTTCATCTTCTCTTTGGCCTTGAGGATTCCAGATGAGAGATTGCCTTGTGACGCAGTTGGATGATTTCCTCAATGTGTGCCCTATTCATTTCCAATGCTTCTTCCTGATTTTTTTCTCTACTGGAATCTGGTTTGTTCTCTCTCAAAGTATGTTGTTACTGATAGTGTCTAGTCAACGGATATGAAGTGTTTTGTGTAGAAAACTGTTAATCAACACTTTTATGTTCTGGATGATGACTTTCATAATTCTCCAAGTTTCATTTCCATACAGTAGAAATGTATTTGTAAATTAGTGAAAAACATACACTATTCATATTAAGGAATTTTCGGGTTAATTTAGCTGCTACTCTCAATATGTTAAATAAATAAAACAAAAGAAAATTCTTAGTATATATGATATTTGGTTAGTACTGAAATTCAAGAGGCATATTTCTTTCTCCCTATTACTACGTTGGACGTATTTATATCCATGTTAACATTCAAATGGAGACTCGAACTCAATACCTATTGTCTAAAGGCTTGAACTATTATCAATCAAGCTACTGAGTTCACATAATAACTAAACTGTTCAACAGGTATAATGATATTAGTAAGATATTGTAATATATTTCATTATTGATATTCAGGAATTGAGGAATTGAAGTCTTGACTATCAACAACAAGAAATTAAAAATAAGTTCTATTGCTAGTCAGTCAGCTACAACGTAAGACCAGGCACATATATGCATCAATCCAAGTTGCCATACTTCAGTAGCCCAACAAGATGAACATCAAATTCATAGAAGTAGCTACTTCAATGGTGAAAATATATAAAAGAAAGATTGTGTATAAGGATATAATACAAGAAGAAAGAATTAGTTCGTTGAAAGAAAGATATGAAACGATTTCAATCTCACAGTTTAAGAGACAAGAAAGAGTGTATACACCTACGTCATTGTGATTGATTCTGAGCATGTCGCCCAGAGTCTCCAAATATTTGTTACGATAGTGATGCGGACTCCAACCAAGTAGTCTTTATTTACCATCAAGGCTCACACCAGAAATTAGTGACTTTAAGGATTGATTCCATGTTTTTGTTTAGCCACCCCTAACTTTATACCAACCATCTCCAACACTAGTTAGCATTGTGCGTCGTGGTAATCAGTGTTCAGACATACGTAATACGTAACCCAACCATCTCAGTCGATGAAAATTTACAACCTCATCAACTGATGTATTAATTCTAAAGAATACATAATGTTTAAAATGTTAAAGTGAGGAATTTGATAATATACAGGATCTGTATACTTAAATGAACCAGTTTTAATGATCCAATAAAACAATATAATCAATAAATCTCTTTCTACACTGATACATATTTGGTTGAAATCTATAAACTTAGTATGAAATCAGATATTGTGGTGTTGTAAAGAAGTACCTGGATGGGATAATCTTAAAATTTCTCGAATTCTTACATATGTGAATATTCAAACTCAGAACAAGATTTAAGAAAAAAAGACTAAACAGTGTAATCACCAAACATCTCCTTGATATAGGACATTATGTCGATACCTTACAATCCTTTAAGGTGTTTAGTAGGCAGTTAAATTCCAGTATTCTGAAGCCAATGCCACCAGGTGTCAAAAACCTGATTTGTGTGTTCAAAAGGAGATGGGTATTAATTTACCCTTGCCTTGGTGACAAATATACCTTCACTGTATCTTAAAATTTCTTTTTCTTTTTGTTTAAACTCTTTCTTGCATTTATTAGATCATTGAGTTTCATTTCAACTATCTTCCAAGTTAATAAACTTATTTAATCAACTGAGCTCCTGTCAATGTTTACTCATTATGTAATCAATTATTTCTGTCTATTTGAACTGTTGCCACAATCAATGTTGTAGAATTATAAGCAATGATGGATAGTGGCTAGCAGTGGAATCCAGGACACTCGTTTCGTCCTATTGTAGGACTCCCCAGCAGTGCGCATCCACGATCCCGCTCGCGGGATTCGAATCCAGGGCCTTCAGTCGAACTCAGTACAATAGAAGATGGTCGAGCAACTTCGTGGATTGGCTGAGGTTAGACATGAACACCATTAAATGCGGGCTCAGTGGTCCAGTAGGTTAAGCGTTCGCGCGTGAGACTGAAGGCTCTTCAGTGCTTCTAGGTTTTCAATGGTGGTCTAGCACCAATCGGTTCATGATCTGAATCAAAAAATTATCAACATTATTTGCAGTTTCTACCATTTATCAGATATTAAAGACACTTATTAAATCTCTTCAATCTCAATACTATATGTTAAAGGGTTTAGTTAAGATTTTCATATAATTTGACAGTATTGTAGTTAGCTCAAAAAGAATATTGAAAATAACGAAGCACTGAAATGACATTTTTTGTATTTCTCTGATAAGGCTATTCCTCAACAATGTTATTTATTTATTTGAACACATAAATATTGGTACAAAGGGGCACCAAATACATATGCCCTGCACAAGTCATTTGATTTGTGTGTGTGGTTAATGATATTGTCCGTGTGGCCAAATTGAAACAGGTGGTTTTCATAATGCGACACACCCCAAGCCTTCGACCTAAAGGTCTGATCCACAAAGCAGTAGAGCAACATCAGGAGATGCAGTCCCATGGTAGCCGGTGACCAATAATAGGTTCATACGGCATTAGTTCATTCAGGATCCTGAAGTCCATGTACACCATTGAGTTTAAATCAGAGTTTTCCAACTCTCCTAGGTGAACCCTTCGTATCCACCAACCTGGTTGAAGCCCGGGAAATTGACATTTCGTTCTTTCAATTTCATAAACAACATCTCCGCCTCCAAAAATTACTGATTATATAGGTATGGCGATATGAGAACATTTCAAGAGAGAACTCCTCCACGCTTGACCATCTCAGGGACTTCTTGGGATTAAATGATCTTAAACAGTATCAAGTCTATTCCATTTCAATTCAATAACTTTATATCTAATTGTCATAATAATAATTCAAAACAATAACCTATTTATTTGCTTTTTTAAATTTCCCATTTTCTAGATATTTGAAACAGAAATCAAAGTAGATCAAGATTTATGGGAAAGTATTCAAGATGAATTAAGATTTGAATTATCTTATTAAAATTCATTCAATGATTCTTACAAATTATGTGTGAAGTATATTTTTGTTGTTGTTGTTGTTGTTGTTGCTGTTGTTGTTGTTGTTGTTGTTTTAATTGATTATTAAAGATGTACAAAAAAAATAGAGGAAAAGAAAAAGAAAATATAGTGATAGAAAAACAAAGAGAACCTTTAAAATGAAAAAAAAATAATAGAAATAGGGATTCAAAACAACAACAACAACAACAACACTCATGGTGATACATAAAAAAATCGATTATTTTTTTGTTTTTTTTTTTGATAAATAATATTCAATATTGTTATTGTTATGATTATTATTATTTAAAAGATGACATAACAATTTAATTGTTGTATTTAAATTCTTCTTTTTTTTCAAACCATTTTTTCCCGCCTTTCTTTTTTTTAAATTTGTTTGTTTGTTTTTTTGTATTTTATAAATAATTCAATGAATAGTTTATGTCATGTGATTGTGACTTTTATTTTTCTTTCTTTCTTTCTTTCTTTTTTCCCAACTATTGTATTAACATCATTGATAATTATTAACAAAATAAATGTGTATATTCATTATATATAAATATATGGGGATTGTTTTGTCTTGATAATGAACTCACCTCCTGATATAAATATATTTGTCTATATAAATGTACTTACTTACTTACTTACTTACTTGCCTATTTACTTACTCACTCAACCACTTACTAACTTACCTACTTGCTTACTTACTTACTCATCCACCCACTTACTTACATGCTCACTCGCCCACTTATTCACTTACTTGCTCACTCACCCACTTATTCACTTACTTACTTGCTTACTTACATACTCACTCACCCACTTGCTTACATACATACTTACCTATTTACTTGATTACTCACTCATCCACTTACTTACTTACCTACTTGCTTACTCATTTACTTATTTACTTACACACGCATATACATACATACATACATACATGCACATGTACACCTAATATATCATACATTATATTTACATATTATCATATATATATATATATATATATATATATATATATATATATATATATATATATATATATATATATATATATATATATATATATATATACATTTATACTCATTCTGTGAACTAATACTTTCCTTTTTAGTGTATGTTTGATAATGTTGTTTTGTTTGCTTGTTTGTTTGTTTGTTTTGGATTAAAATAAAGCTGGAACTCGGTTTTCATCATATGTCGTAATTCATCTAAATGAAGATCATCTAACTTCCAGGACGGAGTTGAAATTATTTTTTCTCGTTGAAGTCCTTATAGAGAGTTAGTTTTCTATGTGATAGGGTCGTTAACCGTATACCTAACCCTCCTCTTTTATCTGGGCTTGAGATTGGCAATAACAACAAAGGAACTCTAGACGTAATTAAAATAAAGCTGATTTGCACGATAATTTTGAGTGAATGTATGGTCATTATATATATATATATATATATATATATATATATATATATATATATATATATATATATATATATATATATATAGGTTTGATGTGAATTAGATAAATGAGTTGATAGGTTTCATCATGAACTGAAATTAAATCGAGGAATAACTGGATAAATGTTTTGGTCCTAGCATGAAATTTTTAATAAATTATGTTGGGAAATAGCAGCAGATATGTGAAAAGGATAAATATCAACTGGAAAGAGCTGGAAAGAATTGACCAGGACAGGGTTGGATGGAGAGTGCTGGTAGGCGGCCTATTGTCCTCCACGAGGAGTAACTGGCGTAAGTAAATAAGTATGTACCAATGTGTGGTTCTGTCAGGAATTGAACCTAAATGTTTCATAATTTGTGATGAGAGTTTTTTGTTGTATTCATCTTTATATTAGTCTACAAAATATACCAGGAAAGAATAAAAATACACTGTGAAAGTTAGAGCCTTGCATGCAAGATCTTGGACGGGCATTGTTGAGAAGTTCCATACTAAGATAAGACAACCATCTAAAGCTTTCAGATTATAATGGTGGTTTAGCTTAGATCGACTCATGAATTCAGTTGTTAAAAAAAAAAGAGAACTTTTGAATCAGAAAGAAATAAGCAAATTACATTCAAATTTAAAGTTTTCATGAAAATACAAGTTTGAACAAAGAAGCATCAAATTTGTTGGTATGTTTGATATGTCTACGCCATGAAATTTAAATCTTATGATTTATAAGCAAAGACGGACAATGGCTAGCAGTGGAATGCAGGACGCACATTTCGTCTTATGGGAAGATCCAAGCACAACAACATTAAGTGAATTTAAACTTCACCCCATTGTACAAGCAAGTAGCTATCAGGACTCAGTAGCTGAGTGGATAACATGATGTCATTTGAAGTGAACGGTATTGGGTTTGGGTCCCGGAGTGAACATCAACTCTGAGATGCAGGTATTTCCAGCTGACGCGTCCCAAATAGGACGGAACGCGCGTCAAACTGGATTCCACTGCTAGCCAGTATCTATCTTTGCTTATAGAATCTTGTTAATTAAGACAATATCAAGGCATACGCACAGGATGCACATATGCCAAAATGAGACTGATCAATTTCAGTCTTAAAAACCTCAATGGGAAGATACAAGCAAAACAATACCAAGTGAATCTTATGATTTATATTTATTCAACTACTGTCAATTTAATAGTAGTATCAATGAAGTTGTACAAACAATAAGTAATCAAGTTCATTACCAATGAAGATTTCTTATTGAACAGTTAAACAGTTCCCCGCTTTTTTTTTAAAAAAAATTACTTTGCTAGCAAGTTCAGTCTCTTTGTAAAAACGAACCGAATGAATTAAGGAATACCATACAGACTTTTAATAATTATATGCATCCGTTGAGAGAATTATTAACTTATACATATTTTGATGTTGATAAGTCCAGTGATTCCAAGTTTTCCATGGTTGTCATGTTTCAATTGACTCATAATCTTAACTATTGATATTAATATAATATCCACAAAAACCCTTCTAATATTAATCAATATATGCTCACTAGTAACTGACTTCAAAAGTTATTTCCTAGAGTTCTACTAAGAAGCCATAACTAGTGTAGTTCAACCGGGTCTGTTGTGAGATAGTAACCCACTGATGACAATCGTGAACGGTAACACAAGTTCGTGGTTTGGTTAAAGTTAGAGATTAACATCGATGGATGCCGGATGGCTCAGTGGTCTAGAGGTTTAGAGTTCGCGTGGGAGACCGATAGATCCTAAGTTCAAATCTCGTGATGCGGAATCGTGGATACACACCACTGAGGAGTCCAATAATAGGAGGAAACAGTCGTTCAGTGTTTCTAGATTTCTCATGGTGGTCTAACTTCATGTGACTCATGATTTCAACCATTAAAAACACCTGATATTAATATGAATAGATCATAGTTGCTAAATTCTAAAAATCACCCTATCAGTTGAAAGTTTTTCATTGAATTTAAGAAAACTTCGTTTTATTTGATTGTTGCGGTGAATGAATAGACGATTAATCAAACAAAATTCACCTCCTAAGAAGTTTAATTCCTTTCAATGTTTGTCTTCATCAATCATTGTCCTTATTGATAAGCTTCATATTTCATCACTCCCTTTTGTTCTCACCCATATTATAGTTTACCATCCAGCTAGTGATACTAATCCGTATTATTTTCTTCAGATTAATTATTAATTGGTAAAGAATATCTTTCAAATAATCTTATTAAAACAATAAGAACAGAATTAGTTGAAATCTCAATAATATGTAATTGACATCTAATCTATGAATTGTAGATTATTTTATTGAGATCATGAACCGATCAATGTCAGACCACTTTTAAAAACCTAGAAGTATTGGAAAACCGTTTCGTCTTAATATAAGATTCCTTAACGGTGTTCATCCATAATTACTCACAAAATGGAATCAAGCTCAAAATCTTTAGTCTTGCACGAACACTTAACCTTTAGATTACTGATCCAGGATTTAACTGTATTTGGTTCATGATCTCAGAGAAAATTCAACAATTTCCATAACCCTATATTAATATTTGAATATTCTTTTTTAATCTATTATAGATTAATTATAATTTATGATAATAAAGAAATGATCTTGAAAGTGGAACCTCGAAATTTCATTGATTAATAAGTGACTTATGAAACTGGTATCATAAAATCGTATATTGGATTTCTAACAAAGTTTATTTCAAAAAAATTATTTTCTTTTTGTGCATCAATATCCTTTGATGATCTTTATACTGACTAGTTTCTATGTATTTTAATAATACCTTAATGTGGGGGACAGGATTTGTGTAGTTTATTTATTTATTTTAACACATAAGTATGCGTACAGGGAGGCACCAAATACATATGCACCACACAAATCTCAATTGATTTGTGTGAGCGCTGTGATACTGCTCGGGTGCCCAAACCGAAGCAGGTGGTTTTCTTAGGGGGCCACACCCCGAGCCTTTGACCTGAACGTCTGACCCACAAGGCAGTGGAGCATCGTGAGGAGATGCAGTCCCATGGTAGCCGGTGACCAACGATTGGTCCATACGCCATTTGTTATCGCAGGATACTGGAGCCCATGTGCACCATTGATTTGGGATCCGGTTAAAGCGCCGGAAATGCGCTTTTTGTCCTCTCATTTTCGTAAACAACACCTGTGTCACGAGAAGGCAGTGAGTAGGACTTCCCTGTCAGAGGCTATATACGCATGGCCATGTGAGAGCATTTCGAGAGGGAGAGCGGACTCTCCCCACTCTCGGCCGTACCAGGGCATTTGGGGGCAGATTTGTGTAGTACTCAAAATGGCTAGTATCCTGTCAATTCATTTGATTAAATTGACTGTAGTTAAGTACTGTTGAACAGTTTGTTTTTTTTCTTTGTGTATAATTTTTATGAACCTATTGGAAGTGAATTTTAGATTTTCACGGTTACAGAGTAAACGTCCAAAACGGTTAAAATTGAAATTAATGAAATTTGTTATGTAATATGAAATTTTGTAGCTGTTACCTTATCTTAA